GACCGGCTTTAAAGGGTTAAATGGATTTGACTGGCGATTCTAAACATTGTTTATTAATCGTCCCAGTGAGAACTGAAACTGAAGTCGGGGGTGTCTCAGTATTCATTTACAGAGGGGGTTCAAACTCTGGGACCAGTACCTGGAGGAGCTGAGTTACTGCGTTGCTCCCAGCCTGGACCGTAACGGCACCACTCTGAACTGGTTTGGTCTGGACCACCGATACCACTTTGCCCAGGCTGCTGAGGTTACTGAGCTGATACAGAGGGAGGGATGATGTCATAAACAGCACTCTGACCCACATGCTGATATCAGATAAATTATCATCTAAACCAGCGCTGCAGCTGACATCACTCACCAGTGTCCCGCCTCCTCCCATGCTCAGTGGGCTGTTAACCAGAGTGATGGTCTTTGTGACTCCACCCACCACCGTCGTGACCACCTGAGCCTGCTGAGAGACGGTCACCGTGCCCGACTTATGGACCGTGATGATTGGCCTGCTGGGGGTCCCAGGGTTGGAGACGGAGGCCCCACCCACCTGGGCTGCAGCCGTCTTCAACAATCCCGTGGCCATGTTACTCACCTGAGAAAAAGAGCAAGATGTTACACGTCACCTGCCGCGTGTTCTGATGCAATCCTGCGTCTTGGAGGCGTCAAGTCGAGTTTTATCTTTACCACTTTGACAGGCAGACTGCTCGTTCCTGGACTGACAGCGACGGTCTTCACTAGGGTTGCTCCTGCGGGGACATTCAGCACCGTTGCCGTAGATGGAGGGATCTTCTGAGTCGCTGCAGCTGCCGCCGCCAATGCTGCCATGCCACTCATCTGAGGATTGCTGCCGATTGGCTGAGGGGAGACAGGGATAAGCCGTCATAACAGGAACATTTGAAAAATATGAATGATAATCCATATCAAAGTTTATGACAGAATACAAAGTGTTTGTTACAGGAACAAATCCTGTTTTACCAGATTATCCACGCTTACATGGACGACATGTGCAGAGCGATGTGTGACACCTGTACTGAGGAGGGCGGGAGGGGAGGTGAAAGCTCATAAGAAACAAAGTTCTGTTTACCGTTTGACCCGGCTGAGCAGGTACCACCATACGAACACCTGCAGGAAGTGTCGTCACACCAACTGGCGACTTGGGCATGGCCTGTCTCACTGTGACGATGGAGGCTCCACCTGTTGTACCCGGAGCTGATGGCACTTTCAAGATCGCTGCAGAAACAAAAAGATAGGTGAGGGACATTCGTGTGCACCCGCTCGACCACCACTACATCTACCTGTGCAAGTGTGGAGACCCACCTGGTGCTTTAGCAGCTGCAGCCAACGGGGTTCCAGCTACAGATGCAGTGGGAGTAGGGACGAGCGTGATGCCGGACAGGGGGACAGCTTGGTTGGCTGGTACTGCTGTGACGGGGGCGGAGCTTTTGGGGGAGCTGGCTCCAGGTGTGGCAATAGTGGGGGAAGGGGTTGTGGCAGGTGACGAGGCCGCAGGCGTGGCGGGAATGTCGTACTTCTGCAGCTGTAGCAAGTAGGTGTCTGCAGTCTGCGACGGCCCCCAGCTCACCTCCAGAGACGTAGTGTTTGCCCGCACCAGCTGCACCCGAGAGGGGGCGCAGGGACGCTCTGAGAACAGGTCAGACAAATGATACCAGGTCAGACTGTCAGCTCAGGTACAACAGCACTAGTACACCTCTGTTAGTGCACTCACCGGTCTCCAGGTACCAGAGGTCTTTGCAGCACACCTGGTTGTTCCAGGCCTTCCTGTATCCATCTCTGCCACTCCAGATATAAAGTCTGGAGTTGATGGCGACGCTACAGTGACCTGCGCGAGCTCTGGGGATGTTCTCCTCTGAAGTGTCCATCAGCACCGTTTCCCAGCACATCGTGTCTGGAGGCAGACAAGTGAACTCACAGTTTTGTCGTTTGTGTTGAATTCCTCTTTAGTTTCAGTTATTTATGCACATGTAGAACATCTGTTATGTCAGCAATATAATTTACATGACCTGCATGAACACGAGCGCTCAGCACCACACATGTGAAGAGTGAGTGTTGCTGTGTATCTGAGTGTGTATTTGTACCTAGGTTGAGGCAGGCCAGTGTGTTGGTGCACTTCCACTCCTTCTCATGAGTCGCCACTTTAACATCATCCATCACCAGAGGAACCCAACCTCCAAAAACATACATCCTGAAAGAAAACAGTCGGGATTTCAGCGTGCAGTAGTAGAATACAGCTCAGACGTCCTTGTTTAGATATCTGACCCCCATCCATTTTCAGCCACTTATGCAGGTCCAGATTGTAAGGGCAGCAGTTTAAACAGAAACAGTGTCTCCAAGCCATCTGACATAATCTCTCCTGTGTGCCTTCAGTTCTCCCACAAGTTCCAAGTTCATCAAGTAGACTGATTTCACTTTTCTTCAGTTATAGCAGTGCTCAAGATGATAGATTACTCCGTCACCAAAGTAACCAAAATACATCTAAAACACACACATTAACCTGCCATAGTTCCTCTCCGTCACACAGCCTGACTCTGGCATCTATCTGCTCCTCGTCTAAAGTTCAGTCACAACAGCAGCTGAATAACCAGCGTACTCCAAACATCCTTCTCCACAGAAAGGTTTTCCAGTTCCTCTTATTGAAACCTGAAGTGCTCAAAGATCATATATTCAATATCTCTAGAAACTTCTGGGTATTCCCCGGTGTTCCCACCCAGTTCCAGGTTTCCCCAGATAACCTCCAGATAGAAGCACCAGGACCACCTCAGCTGGCTTCTTTCAAATTTGGGCTGTTAACAAAAATCAGCCAACGCCTGTGTGACTGCCAACAAAAAGAGCCATTCAGGGACAGAAAAGTTATTATAATAAAGGCTCTTAGGCCTTTACGACAGGCGTGTGGTGAGTGACCTCTGCTTTTGCAATTAATACAATAGTAAAAGTCACACTGTTGCTATGCAAGTTCAGTACAGTGGCAACCTGATGGCTAGATAGCAGAGCTGTCCCTTCAACCGCTGTTGTTTAAAGTCCTCAAGAGAGGAAAAAAAAGCTCTGGGATGCTGACACTTTATTTGAAATACAAACAAATAAAAAATAAACAAGGAGATCTTTGTGTGTGTGTGTGGGGGGGCAGTACTTGTTGTTGATGGTGGTGGCGGAGTGCAGACTGCGAGGTAGGGGGGCCGTCCCACCGAGGCCTGGTTTGCTCCACACCAGAGAGTCTGTGTTATGAAGAAGACAGGAGCCAATCAGAAGTCAGTACAGCAGGTTTGGACCCGAGTGTCCCATTTTTTGATTTTTTATTTTTTTTTGCTGTTTACTTCAAATTCAAATTTTTTTTATTTGTCACATACACAGTCATACACAGTACGATATGCAGTGAAATGCAGTGAAATGCTTGGACAACTGCTCGTGACCTAAAGAAAAAAGAAAAGGCTATGAATAAGATAGGAAATAAATAAATATGAAAATAAAAAAGGGTAAATTTAACCAGGAAGGAATAAAATAAAATATAAAAAATTAAGTTAAGAATGAGATAACTGTACAACAAAATACACAGTATAGAAATATATAAGAATGTAAGAGAAATATAAATATATATACACACAATAACAGCAGCTGTACAAATATTAACTGGAAATGAGGAATATAATGTCCAGTGTTGTGCAATCCACATTATATAGTGTCTTCAGACCAAATGTTTTGTAAATTTAACAGCTGTTGAATCAGGACACTCGTCTCCACAGAACTACACAAACACTCAGCAATGACGCCACCTCACCTATGTCGAGGACCCACAGGTCCCCCAGCCGGCAGCCACTCATGCCTCCGTAGATGATTAACCTGCTGGCCCCGTGGTTTGTCGTCACCACCGCCGTGTGACTCTCTCTGGGTGGTGGTGGTGGGCCGGACGTTGCTGGAATCTCCCAGCCGACCACGCTGGAGCCCGGCCGCAGCTCCAGACAGTACAGGTCATTCAGGTATCTGAGGGCAGAGGTCAAAGAACAGGCTCAAGGTCTGTATCTGGACCAATAGTTTTTTGCTCTGGCTCCCGACGTTTCCTACCTGGGGATGTTGTTTTTGGGATCTTCGCTATCATTGGCAAGTCCACCAAAAAGGTAGCACCGGCTTCCAATCAGAGAGAAGCTGTGTCCAAGACGGGGGCAGGGGGGTGGGCCATTCTTTGGCGCTTTGGCCTTCAGTCGTTTCCACTCCCAGCGACTCGCCTGAAGGTATAAGGTGTTACATAGTGAAACTTTCATGAGCTTTATAAAGCTTCATAAAGACTTCCAGGCTCTGCAGACACTTTGAATGACTGTTTTTACCACATTTACAGTTGAGATGAATGAATAAAAAAAGAAAAAAACAATAGCCACGCTAATCAGCTCTGTACCTACAGGCTAACACACTGCTGTCTACACCTACACCATCAATCGCCATCTGTGATAGTTAGCGTCTGATACCCCGCTCCCTGCAGTGGCATCACTGACCTGCAGCTCATATAGGTCGTTGCTGTATTTGCCGTACTCCACCATCCCTCCGAACACCAGCAGCCTCGTCCCGTCACACACGAAGCCATAGGCGGCACAGCCGGGGGGGATGTCACCACGGACTGCAGGGATGAACCACTGATTGGTGGCTGGAAGTCAGATTGGTCAGATGTTATCCAGGATGTTCCTGATTTCCAGTGTTTCATGATAGCAATGTAACTTCTTCACCCAGTTGGGACCGTTAAAAGAGTCACTGTGAAATCTGGGAGACTGAACTGAACCTCTTAAGACATCCTCTGACACCACACACACTACGAGTAGGGATGCAGGAATCTAATATTTGGTTGGAACATCGGATCAACCCCCACTCAGAAAACGGGACCTGCTTAATTTCTCCATGTTTCAATTGTTGCAGGACAGCAGTTAGTGGGTGTGGAGGAAGCTGACAGCAAAGTGTCAGCAGTTTGGAGGTTTTTCATGCTTGCTACACCAACACCTTTTCTTTTTATGTTCGCAAAATGTCTTTTAGTTAACAGCAAACTGTGGTCAAAGTGCACTGACAAAACTGAAAAGCTCGAATGGGAAGATGATCCAGCCTCTCGAGTCTTATGTTCAGTCAGAGGGATTTGATATGTGGAACATACACATACACACTCTACATGGTAGACCCTAAGAAGGTCATTGGTTTGGTCTAACACTTGCTGGAAAGTTTTATTAAATTATGTTATTCACACAGTTTAATGATCACTGTGACAAATTTTCATGACAAATATTTCAAGAGATTTAAACAGGGACAATGAGAGAAAACCCCATTACAAACTTTAGAAATTATACTTGTTTTTTCATGAAAAAAGCTCATTTAGATTTGGAACATTTGCAGCCTGCAAGCTCACATCAACAAGATGTGAACTTGGCATGAAAACACACTACATACAAAAATGTTTAAATCTACATCAACTGAAAGAAACACATTCAACAAGCATGAACAGCAGCCCCAGAGAATGGTATTAAGGTAATAAAACAGTACAAATACGCTTGACACCAATTGGCTCAAAATACATTTGTGCTTTGAACCTAAAGCTTTAGGAAATCATCAACAACACAATCTCCACACACAGCAATTAAGTTTTCTTAGACAACGTCTTGATGCATTCTCAATCATCCAGGAAAGTAAACCAGCCCACTGAATGAACAATGGGCTGGGAGGTCAGTTCCTTAATCTTAATCATGCAAATTCTCATGACCATTGATCAACAACCACTGATCAAAGACCACTGATCAATGGCCATGAGTACCACACAAAACGCTAAGTCCAGATGAACAGAATCAACTTTTTGTTGATTTTCTTAGATAACTGTTTTTTTTTTAACAGTAACTTTGCTTTCTGTTTATTTTATTAAAAATGCCCGATGTAAACGGAATAACTTGAGAAATTAGTAAAGTCGTAAATATGTAAAAATTTAGTGATACATGCAGATTTTTATCTGCAGTCGATTGCAGGTCAGAACCACGATAGAGAATGATAAAATAAAGACAACCATATTAAACAAATAACGACCCCACAAACCACTTGGACGCAAATACAAAAACACTAAAAACGAATTTCGAAACGTAAGTGTTTTTAAACTGGCTTGTTTTTTAAATGTTTTTCTTTATTTTCTGCAGCAACGTGGGGGTGTGTCCATGTGACGTCAGCAATGTTTTCAGTAAAAACGCGCCATTTCTCTCTATGCTTCTGCCAGAGCCGCCCGGTTAGCCGCTAGCTGCCTGCTAACCTTGTTAGCATGCGGAGCGGGGCTAGTAGGTTTTATTTGGTAGTCTGAGGTTAGCCTAGCCTAGCGTAGCATAGCCTAGCAGGATAAGGGTTATTATTTATTGAGCATTTCAGCCTCATTAGTCACAAGCAGAACAAAACTCCGCTCTCTTAGCTCTTTAGCACAGTTAGCATCGAGATAGCATATAAATTAATTTAGCATGCAGCCACACATACCATACTCATAATTATTTGGACACATGGAGCATATGAATCGTACCTGTGTTGTAGACATGCAACTCGTCCACGATCCCCTCGTTCCCCCCACCGAACACCACCATCAGCTCCTTAATGGCTACGGCCCTGTGTCCGTGCCGGGGCCGTGGGACTGGACCAGTCGATCCTACGACGCGCTTCCAGCGGGGCTGTAGCACCGCTGGCCTCCCGGGTTTGGCTTCCATTGGGCTGTTCTCTGGGTGCGCTCCTCTCGGTCCTCAATGACAGACAAAGATCAAAATTCAGTCGCGAGTTTAAAACGGTATGCGGCTGGCATTAGCCCGCTAACTAGCGCCAGAAGCTAACTAGCCGGCTAATGTCCCTGACGTTGTTGAATGGCTAACTAGCTTCTGCTACCAGGATTAAAGAGCCGCTCTGTGAGCTGCGGTCTAACCCGGTCCGTCCCCTTTTATTGGACCCACTATATAAAAAAGCCTTCCTTTCTAGATCCAGCCGCAGAATCGGGCTCAGACAGAGACCACTGGGGTGCTATCCAGCCCAGTGGGCGCTGCTTGGAGACGGGAGGAAGCCGCCAATAGCAGCTCAGGCTAACACAAATGAGCATACGGCTGCTGCGTGCAGTGCTGTGAGGAGCCCCGGAGGCAGCAGGCTGCTATCAGACACGCAGAGCAGCCGGGGCGGGAGCCGCCATCTTGCTGCTAGCAGAAGCCGCTGAAAATGGCAGTGAAGCTAGGTGGCTAACAGCTAGCAGCTAACAGACAACTTCCTGTCCTCAGTAGTAACCTCTATATACAAAACAGTGACTTATTAGCTCCGTGAACAGCTTTCAGTCTACTGTATTAAACTTTCTAACTTAATTTAATCTGTACATTTACAATAGTGGGAATATTTATTAATTAAAAAATAATTACTTCATTTCTAAAAGTCTGCTGAAAAATTCAAAATCACTTTACAATCTGAATACAGAATCAAAAACTTTGATCAGTTCAGCCATCATCTGCTCATATAGACCCCAAATGACAGAAAACTGCTGGCAGATTCAAATAACTTGGGACTAACTAATCTTATTACTGCATTTTTTATTTATTGTTTATTTATTGTGTATTTATTATAAGTATGTATTTGATTACCTTCTTAGATAATTATTTTTTACCCTGGAGTCCGGAGGCATATAAAAGATTAATATAAAAGATTAATTAAAAAAGCTAATCTTCATGTGTGAGTTTTGAAAGAAATGTGCTTGAATGACTGTTTTAAGTCATTATTTGTGCCTGAATGACTTGCACCATTTAAACGCAGCAGTTCCAGTCAGGATGCAGAAGATCCTGGAGCTCTGGCCTGCTGTGATTGGCTGCCTCCCTGTCGGGTGACTGATGATGCTCTGGACACTGGAAAACTGACAGTTGTGGACTTGACTGAGCTGGTTGTTGAATGTTTGTTTAAACAGCATTGCTGCTGACAGGTAGCATAAATATGTTTCACCTCCAAACTGGGATTTTACCCCCTGACTGTGTCACCCGAAAAAACTGGAGGGATTCGTAAAAGGCCCAGAGCTAAAAGTGACGCCATCGCCGTGCTGCTTCATCCACCCAACAGAAAAACACAAATTTCAAACTTGCAAAGAAAAGCTGCAAATTTGGGATTCTTACACTTTTCAGTGCACATTATATTTAATTACATTTTATAATTACATTAACTAAACGTTCGGCCCAAATTTAGTCAAAACACCGTAACCTTCCATCTTAGACACCTACTGGAGTGGTTTTCAAATGCTGTTTAATATATACCACAGTTAAATATGCCACACAACGTGAATGTTTTCAACAGGACTTGACCCAAATTCTCAAGGCCTGGTTCCTCGCCTGCCTCTGCCTGATGGCCCTGAGAGTTTGCCATCAGCTACCATTAACAACAACCAGTCAAAGCGGAGGGTCCCTCCAAGCAGACCCAATATAGCATCGACGTTTTTAGATACTCAAACAGAACAACACACCCGGGCTTCTGCGATAAACACACCAGAAAACTAACAAACTAACTGCAAAATAAACACAGAAAATTGTATTAAGGAACGGTTTACATGAAGTTGTTTTTAAAAATAACTTTGTGAACACTTGGATAGCTTCACCCTGACCTCGCCCATTATATAACACGCTATATTCAATCAGCCATTTTGCAGTGCTATTGACATTCTCTACAGTAAATGTCACAACAGAGCTCAACAGCTACTTTTTTATAAGGTCTCTGTTTCCAGAATTGAATTTCCCATTTCCTATTTCAGGAAATCCTTTTATAAAGAGTTTTAATCCTTGAACCGAGACAACCAGCTGAGAGGTGACCTTTGACCATAAAAAGATTTCATTAGTATTAAAAAATAATAATAATGGAAAATGGAAAAAATGACAAAGGTTCAAAACTGTGTACATAATTACATAATTATATAAGGAATCACTCATCACATAATTAACTGCAGATCCAAGACTACACAGCAAATGGCCGTAAACACCCTAAATGCGATGCTTTCATTGTTGTAGTGCTTCTATGGTTAATATGTTGTACAATAACAGTTTGAATGGATTTTTGTAGTTTGTGTTGCATTATGTTTAAGTATCGCCTCCTTATTGACACAGAGCTTTGCACCTGACTGCAATCAGCACTCTTGTGGTTTCTAAAGTTTCACACTCTCAAAGCAACCTGATGATCATAGGTTTAAACATTTCCATGGCAACAGCGGCCTCCACCACAGATGTAGGATTAAAGGTTGAAAAGTTCCACCCAGGACATCTAGCCTACGTCCTGTAACTTTACGAATACAATTCATGACACAAGACTGTGGATTCTACAGCAGCACTATCATGGTTTTACAACACCGTACAGAAGATCCTACATCTATCAGCTTAGACCATCATTGACCGGAAACTTCCAGTGTCCTAAAAATCAGGATAATCCGAGCAGCAGCACGTTTTGCTTAAGCTGAAATATTTTTCACTTGTACAGGCACATTCTCATCAGCTGCATCAAATTCACCCCATTGCCTAAGCTTTGCTAAGTATTTCATATGAAACCACCCCTGAACTGTTTGTACCACATCGCTGTGTAATTAACTGTTAATTTTCTATTAGGACAATTAAGGCTCTGGTTGCCTAGGTTACCCTATAATATTTTTACCACCGCCTCATAGGTCAAAGAAAGGTTGCTTCAAATTGCATTAGGGACCTGCTCAACTTCCAACAAAAAATGATCATGCTGGCAAAACCAACTGGTAATATTGCTGTAGATGTGTCCATTTTTAACATACAGTCTATGACTGTAGACTAAATATGGATGTAATATAATTTACTGTATTTGGCTTCATTCTTCTTTTAGGTACTTCCTTTAGGGGTCACGACAGCGGATCATCTGCCTTCATCTCACCCTATTGCTAGCACAGTCCTCCTTCACTACGTTCATTTATCTTCTCTGTGGTCTTCCTCGTTTCCTCCTCTCTGACAGCTCTATCTTCATCCTGCATCCTTTGTCCACTATAGCCTCTATCCCTCCCATGCACATCTCAGCCTTGCCTTCCCTTCCAAACTCGCTGTTATCCTCCTGTCACAAGTTCCCAATGACGCTTGTCTGCACTTACTCCACCCTTCTTCACCTCTCTTGTGCACTGTCCGTTACTTTGGATGGCTGAACCCAGGTATTTAAACTCATCTACCTTCAAATCAAGCTGCAGTTTCACTGTTACACCTTTCTCCCTCTCATTCACACACATGTATTATGTCCTGCATCTATTACATTACTATAGTGTAAAATTTACAGCTGGGCTTGTAAAGCTGGAATTCTTTACACAGATTTGTATTTTAGATATTTATTTTTTGGACACATATACGTTAACAACATCAGTATCATTGTTTTCACAGTGTCCTAAAATCTGTCCTGCTAATGCTCTGCTGTTTGTTTCAGAAACATGGAAATGCTTGCTGTGACCAAGTGGACAATCCAAACACAGCCAGCTGAACTCCCATTGAAACCTTACACGGGCTGTTTCACGTCGGAACAATTAAAAGCTCAGGTACACCTGCTGTTCTCCGCTTCCGGTTAGCTCGGCAGGTAACCGACGCACCTGGCTGCACTTTTATTTGCTGCTCAGTAACATTCATGACAACATAAGGGGAATCCAGCGCCACAGCTATTTGCTAGCTAATGCTAAAACCCACCGCTAGGCTAAAGCTGTTAGCATGCACTCACAAAGCTAACCGGCTAACTTGTATAATGTTTTATTTCTTTCGTATCTTCTTTATCACAACTGTAAATTAAACCTGGAGAGAAATCAAAACGTTTAGGAGCTGTTCTATGAGACATTTTAGATCCCCTGGGTGAAACAAGTATTTGTCCACCTAACCAAAACAAAACCATTTTCTCTCTACGGGAAGCCGGCGGGCTATCTGCCCATTCTGATCCGGAAACGGAGCGTAAAAGCAGACGTTAGCAATTCTGCAGGGTTGCTAATGCTAGTCTACTTTATTAATGTGCTGTTAGCAGACCGTTCTCGTGCTAACCAAAGATTATCATCGTTGTATCAGATAGCGTCCAACATTAGCTCAAATTACCACAAAGAGCAGCAGGTAGCCGTACGGATAGCTTAGCTAGCACAGAAGCTTCATTAATGATTAGCATCTGCTAATTTAATAGTGGTTAACTGATGGAGCCTTCACCAAACTTCCTGTTAAAAATGATTCTTTAGCCCGCGGGCTTGAGTAGCTCTGGAACGGTTAATGTAGCTCAACAACGAGCTTGCATTAAATAAGTAGCTAGTTATGCTAACGGCTGTTAGCACTGACGTCCCTTCCCTCAACAAACATGGCGGCAGTACCGTTAACCGCTCAAACAGGCTGAAAAGTCGCGAGTAGCATTCGACCCGGTCCTGCCCGGTCCGGTCTGGAGTACTTACTCACTTTGCGGATTCTGTCGTGTACAGTCAGACTGAGCTCAGAACAATCTTTCCGTAGCTTCAAACGCTCATCTTCATCTTCGACATGCCGTTCAAAGAGACGCCATTTCCTCCCCAACTTCACGGCGCAATAGCGCACCCCTCAGGACATACACAAACACACAGCTACAGTCTTTCAGTAGAAATGGAAACTAAATGTCATTAAAGCAATCTAAAATAAATGAAAAAAACAACTGGGTTTTAAAAACTTGTTTATTTAATTAAATTAATTAAATCGGCCAAACTATTTTTATAAACTGTCTCAAGTGAAGAACTAGTAAAACCAGTTAACAATAATTATTTTCAGTGTTATATAGTTGCTTAGTAAAAAAAGGTCCAATGTTAAAATGCCGAATTTTACAAGAAATAGACCTAAACATGTTTAGAGGCTGCTCCAAATCAAAAATGTTATCATCTGATTATATTTTCTCCGTGCTTCAGTTTTGGTGACTGAAAATTTAATATTGTATTTCACAGGTAGCGGTGTCTCGGTGTTCCACCTGTACAGTGTATAGATGCAGTTTGCCATCAAAGCCAGCTAGCAGTACCTGATAACATTTCACCCTCCTGTCCACATATGACATCTTCTGGCTCCGCCGATAATTACATTACAGCTTCAAAATGCAGAACTTGTGACATCACAGTGGCTACTGTGTTACCTTTGTCTTGCTCTTTGAACAACAACAGCCATCAACCCGATGCAGGTTTTTGTTGGCGCTCAATAACATAAAACATCGTCTCAAACTCTGCGGCATTCAAAGCATATAGCATGTACTGCGTTTTCAGAATTTTATGACACAATTACAAATATTAAAATATTTCCATGTGAATTTTAAAATTATTACAGACTAATGAATAAATAATTTCAGTTAGATGAAAATAACAGGAATGTTGCGTTACGCTGACATGAGCATCACTTGGTTTGAACCCAGTGATGTTTTTTGGTAAATGCACAGCTGGAGAAATCTATGAAACCCAGATTCACCAGCAGTCTGAAATGTGACACACCAGCAGCTCCACCATCCAGCACTTTTTTCGGTAACATTAGTGATGATGAAATCCACAGCTGCACTCCAGAAACTGTCCATCTTTGGTCCTCTGCTTTGTGTCCATAATAGATAACCGCAGTCACTTGTGTTTAGTGGGAAGATAATCCAGCTCATCGCTCTCCTCTGGTCCTCTGATGTCCCCAAGACTCTTCTCTAAGTCTGATCAGACACAGGAGAAACACAATAAGTGAACCAAAAACAAACAAAACCAACAGGTATCATAAAAACTCCTGAGTGTGGTTTACATACAGATGTTTTCAGACGACAGCAGCTCAGGAGTACGAATCCTTCCTTCCTCGTACTGAGCTTTCTTCTCCAGGAGTCGCTGTTTGCTGGAATTTATCTGAACTGAACAAACAGGAAATGGATATAGTTTCAGAAAAGTTTAGGACAGGTGTTCAATAATGTCTGAAGAAACTAAGGTGTGGGCCTTTAATGAGTTGCTCACATACTTGAAGGCTCTGGAGATGTTGACTTCAGGGACCCTGCAGGAGAGAAGCCGTAGAGCCTTGCAGTGGCCCCTGCCGTGGTTTGCCCTCTAGTCTCTGGTCCTGCTGGGGCCCCTCTCAGTGCTCCGGGTGCTATACTCAAACTGGTGCTATTGGGCTGGGGAGGGAAATTGTACTGGTCCTCAGTGGGCACCGAAGGCTGGTTGCACTCAACCTCTGTGAGCCTAGCTGGACTGCGATACTGGGCTTTGGTGGAAGGAGATAAAGACCTGCAGCTGGTCCCGTTTGATCTCAGCTGAGAGCGAAGGTCGTACTGGGAGAAACCTCGACTCTCGTCGGTTTCACACGGACCAGCGAATGAACAGGAAGACACAGGAGGGAAAATGGATGACGGGGGAAGAGATGATGATGAGTGAAGTGGGTCAGGAGTGGCGAGGGTGAACAAAGAGGGAGAGGAAGAAAATTTGGTTGACTGTGACACCTGGTAGGTGTCCTCCAGTGGTCCCAGTTTACTCAGCTCTTTGGAAAGCTGTTGTATATTAGAGTCCAGAGAGCGGGGAGGTCTGGGGAAGGACTGGTAGGGAGGCTCCCTCACCATTTTATATACGTCCTCAAGAGATGCACACACCTATGAAAAAACAAAACAACACACTGAGGTGAAAAACAGGAGGATCCAAACAGGAGCCCTGAGGAACTCCAGAGTGCTCTAAGCAGCAGTCACAGAAGTCCAGATTAAATTAAATTGCACCACAACCAGTCTGAACTGACAGGATATGCATCTGAAGAAGTCTGCAACCAATGAAACTACATCTGAGGAGGAAACCAAGTGAGTGCGGCTGGCTCTTACATCTTTCATTACCGGTCTCTTCTTCCTGAGTTTTGCCAGACACCTGCAGGCCAGATCCGCCAGTTGCAGGCTACCAGTAAGCTCAGCAGTGCCCCCTGCAACAAAAGTGAACACAACAGGTAACAGGAAGGACATGGAGCAGGCACAACAAGGACAGGGACTGTGGTCTTAGCTCCAACACTGACCGGAAATCAGCCGTTTGTCAAGATGCTTCCTCCAAACTGCTTCAGTTGAGCCACCTGGACATTCCTTGATGTCCTCCACCAGGTCCTTCTGCAAACCAGAATCAAAACCAGGGTAAGCCCGACTCAAACAGACCAGGTTACCAGCAAGGAAACACACCAGCCGGGTTTGGAAGAATTCTGCCATTTTCCAAAGCTTCAGATTCAAAACAGCCCGATCTGCAAATCAACTGTGTGAGCAGGTGTGTGCTATTACCAGGTATCTCTCTCCACACATCCCATCTTTCTCCAGAGCTCGACGTCCAGTCAGCACCTCGAGCAGCACCTGAAACACACACACGCACTATTTTCAGACACTTGCTGTGTTTCTCTTCTGTTTTCTGGTCTCAGAATAAAAATGTCCAGTTTCACATCAGTTCCTAAAACAGGATATTTCCTGTTGCCAACTCTATAACTTACCTACAACTGACGAAGAGGTTTCTCTAACTAATAGATGGTTGTTACTTATTTTATAAACAAAACCACCTACAAATTATTATGTTCATGATATTTTTTATGGTTTAATGGCTGATGTTTTAGTGTATTTAATTATGCTTTTCAAACATTTTCATGGAGAAGCTTGAAGCTTAGGGTGCAAATTATGCTTTACAGTATACTAGTATTACAGATCAAACGATAACGCCGTCATACTTG